CAACATTTGTGTTGCAGGACATGTGAAGCAAGTAATGAGACGCTGTATCTTGGATGCTTTGGTTCTTGGTCTCTTACCTTCTTTGTTTAGAGGCAGACATCATCTTCTTTAGAATGATTAAAAAGTTTATAGATTCTGCTAGCATTTTTGAGCCCCAGGGGATGAAGCACAGTAGTATCAGTGAGACCAGGAATATCTTTCTTCCCCATTTTTTACAATGACCAAGGTGAGAACACTGAGATTGACATCCACAATGCAAGCCTGAACAGATTTGCACTTTCTCTCTTCAGTCCTCTGTGATCCATAACAGAACTGCCCCTTATTCAACAGCAGACAGACATGGCATGGGTCAAGGCATCCTGCTTCATGGGGAAACCATGCTTGTTCTTCCCACCACTGATTGGAACCACATAACTTTTCTATTCTCCCAAGGTGTCAGCAGCAACTTCTATGGCCATATGCTTCTCAAACAAAGTTACAAAGGTTGCATTCATCGTCCATTTCAATGAGTTTCTGGCAGCCAGTGGTTAGGAAAGAGATGTTCAGCTTCATCCTGAAGCAGTCTACAACCAGCATGTCTAACTCAAGGCATGTGACCTGTCGGCCACGAGTTTGACATGCTTGGCCTACAGCCTTGAAGACACCACACACACACACACACACACACACACACACACACACACACACACACACACAAAGAGATCAGTTGAGTTTTACGCTCAGTGGCAGCAGCATCAATTTTACTGGCATGTGTACTTATCTCTTGTGCCAAATTTAGTTTATTTATGAGTCACAATATAGAAGACAACATTTTAATTTAGTCACATTAATCTCGCTTTACTTTCCTAGAACTTACTTTTTAATTTGTCCCATTTTCACTCATGACAGTAATGCTTTGCTCTCTGGATATTTTCTGTTTTGAAGTTTCTTTTTTGACAGTCTCTATTAGATTCCTAGGGCTGCTGTCACAAAATACTACTAAGTGTGTGGCTTAAAATAACAGAAATTTATTCTCTCACAGTTATGGAAACTAAAATCCAAATTCAAGGTATCAGCAGGGCCATGACCTCTCACAGCTCCAGGAATGAATCCTTCATGGCCCTTCCTAGCTTCTGCTGTCTGCTCCTCATCAAACTCTGTGTTCTTGCATGACTGTCTCTGTGTTTCTTGTTTATCCTCTTATAAGGACAGCAGTCATTGGATTAGGACACACCCAATTATTAATTTAAGTAACTTTATCTTAAGTAATTATATGTGCGAATACCCTATTTTCAAATAAGATCACAGTCTTATCTTTTAGGTGGACATAAATTGTGAGGGAGTACTATTCAACCCAGTTTACCCTCTGGACCCCCAAACTCATGTCCATCCCACTTACAAAATCCGCTCACCCCCTCCCAACATCATCCAAATATCTTAACCCTTTCCAGCATGAAATCTTAAGTCCAAAATTTCATCTAAATATTAACTTAAAAAGTCCCAAATTTCACCACCTAAATCAGGTATGGTATGGGTCCCTCCTGGGACAACATTCTGCTCCTTCCATAGGCCTATCAAACTACAAAGCAAGTTACCTGTTTCCAAAATACAATAGTGCAACAGGTATAGGATAGATAATTCTCATTGTGAAAGGGAGAAAATGGAAAGAATCCAGGGGTTACTAGTTCAAAGAAAGCTGGCAATGCAGCTGGGCAAATTTCATGAGACTTCAAGGCCTGAGAGTAATGCTAATATTTAAAAATATATATTTTTATTAATTTTTGGAGAGAGAGAGAGAGAGAGAGAGAGAGAGAGAGAGAAGAGAGAGGTAGAGAGAAGCATTGATGTGAGAGTGACACACTGATCGCCCCCACCTGAGATTGAGCCCACAATCCAGGCATGTTCCCTGACTGGGAATCAAACTGGCAACCCCTCTGTGTGCAGGACCATGCCCAACCCACTGCGCCACACTGACCAGGACCTGAGAATAATTCTTTATGTTTTACCTTTCTCTATTACTTTACACTTACTTGACACTCTGGGGCAGTAACCTGCCTTTCCTGGTTTCTATATCAATATTCTTGGAGTCATTTTCTTTCATTTTGTCCCATCTCTGTCCCTCTCAATCCATGTTAGCAGTGTTTCTGTTAGCATAAAATTCTTAATAATTTTGTCTTCTGTGGACATTCAGGGAATCCACACCATTAGTCAAGAGTATCCTCCCCAGATTCTTCCTCAATAACCCCATTTGGAATCCTGACTTTTCCTGAGCTGGTGATTGGGCCCTAAGTCGAATGTCTAATCATTATAACAAATGACTGTCCAGCCACACCTTTGTCCTTGTTTCCAGAGCATGATTACTGGATAGACAGAAAAATTTCCCAACTAAGTACTGGTTTCTTTTTGCTTAACAGATCATTCCTCAATTAATCTCTTTTATCTCACATTTTACTGTAACCAACAAAGAGAAACCCGGCAGCACATATCACTATTTTCTTGGAAATTTCTTCAGCTAAATAGTCAGGTTCATTACTGATAAGTTCTACTTCCTGTCCAACAATTCATTTGGCCAGGTTTCCTGCCACTTTATAACAAGGACTGCCTTTCAGTGTCCATTAGCGTTTCCGTCTGTGACCTCAGGAGAATCACCTTTAACATTCACATTTCTATCTACTTTCTGTTCATGATAATACAGCCATAAATTTATTCTCTAAGACGATAGACACTTTTCTCTACAGCTATTATTCTTTCTGAAATACCAGCCAAATCACCTTTAATGTCCATATTTTAATAGTCTTCTCAAGGCAATCAAGGCTTTTAAAAATCATGCATTTCAAAACTCTTCCAGCTTATTCCCATTAGCCAATTCAAAAGTCACTGCCGTAGTCTTAGTTAGGGGTATGTTGTCATAGCACCTCACTTCCCTTCCGGGTACCAAAATCAGTATTGGTTTCCTAGGACTGCCAGAGTAAAAAAACAACAACAAAAACAAACCATAAACTGGGATGGTGGCTTAAAGGAATAGAAATTTATTCTCTCCCAGTTCTGAAGACCAGAAATACAAGATCGAGGTATCAGCAGGGCCATGATCTCTGATGGCTCCAGGGGAGAATTCTCCCTTGTCCCCAGCCAGCAAGTCTGGACAAAGGCTCCAATCTCTACTTTTATCACCATGTGGCATGCTCCCGGTGGAACTCTTTCTCCCAGTTTACCCTTTTTGTAATGACACCAGCTTTTGGATCAGGACCCATTCTAATCCAATATGACATCATCTTAAGTAATTACATCTGCAAGGACCCTCTTTTCAAATAAGATCATATTCTTTTATTAAAGGGTATGTGACTACTGGGGGAGATAATATACAACCCAGTGCTCAGCCTACACTGTTTTTCTATTTATTCTATAACTTGGATGGGATATATTTTTTCTGAATAAAGTGGTTCTATGCCTTATCTGACTCTGGTTATATTATCTAATATGTGTGTGAATGTGTGTTTGTGTGTGTGTGTGTGTGTGTGTGTATACATATATATGGCATATTTTGAATAGATCTAAAATATTTTAGATATTGATTTCTAAAGTTGGATTATTATCAAGAGAATGTAGAGTGCCTTTGCATTGTAAAATATCAGTGGATAGAAAATATTCAATTTCTGGTAGGACTGAAAATTTAAGAGTATTGTGTCAACTGCAAAAAAAAGACAAGTGAGTCTGTTAAAAAAAAAAAAAAGCAGGTTGTAGACTATAAAGTATTCCTCATATGTCTTTGGCAAGAACTAAATTATCTCCTCTGAATTTTGAATTAAGCATAGTAACAAGGTAATTTACATATTAGTTAATTTCTTTCCCCTAAACAAATATTCTGGATATCCTCTACTCTCTTTACAATGTTAAATATCACAACAGGCATCATTTAAACATGTGCATGAGGCAGACTTATTTTCAGGTGTTTCCATCTGTTGTGGGAATATACTTTAAGAACAGGCGAGAAACATACACAAATTAAACAAGAAGCCAGGGGATAACAGAAAAATAATGAAAGAAACATCTGTAGGCCAACAATGTGGAAAAATGTTTGAGCTCCTGTTATTAACTACTCAACCTGTTTTACATTGGAATCCTGCATAATTACATTTCAGGGGAGGGGCAAACAACAGATGTTGAATAAGGTTGAAAATAAGAAAGTGAGAATATTTAAAATAAAGAGCTACTTTTGCTCACTGACAGACATTTCTTGAAAGCATTTTAGACGGTAATCAATTTCATATATTCACTACACATATAAATTAGATTAATGCAAACAAAATGTTCTCTTTTTCTAAGTCTAAGGAATTGATCAATTATACATATCAACAATGCACCTAAGTTACATGGTCATAAAAAGCAAAACAAAAAAATCTAATATTTCCTTACTTTTATATTGTATCAATTTTTTTTTTGGTAGAAATTGTTACAAAATACATATTTTCTCATTACTAAAGTCAATACATTTTTAAAAATTGAAGGTTTCTATGTGATTCACTAAATAATTAAATTATAAATAGTCTGTTGTTTCAAGTTCCAGACAATATATGTTTTGTAAGTAAATTAAGATGTAATAAATGTTTTTTATTAAAGCCTTGCTTTCTAGGGAAATTAAAAAATAGGCAGTTTACAACTTTAATATTGCTGGCCTCCTTGTTTACATCTACCCACTATGGCTGAAAAGTTTTTATTTTATTTAGGATAAATGAATCCATCATCATCACTAAAGTATTTTTCCCATCAACCTATGCATTAATGTTACTTTGTACTGTTTCTATCTCATCTAAACTGAAATTATCCAAAACAGTAATTTTCTTCCAATAAGAATAAGTCATCTATTTGGGGAAATGCCAAATGACCTTATTTTTTTTAGGAATTAGTCAATCTAAAGAATTTTAAAAGATAATTGGAAATCAATAAAATATTCATGATTCAATTGGCCCTTTTTTCCCACTTGGTTTTTCTATTTGTTAACTAAAAATATTTTATTTTTCAAGCATTCCCGACTTTGCTTTCCTTTGCTATCCTCACCCTACACACCATCACAAGTAGACTTCAGTCTGTTGATCTGCTTCCTACAGGTGAGCAATTTCTTCATCTGTTAGCTTTCTTCTCTGTGATCTGAATTTTACTTGTAAGATGATGGCACTCATAAGTGTATGTGCACACAAAAAATGGCTTTCTCTATATATAGCCATGCAGAACTTGTAGACTTTATTTTTTAAAAGAAAATATAATTAAGAAATTTATTCTACTATACCTGCTTTGGTACTATTAATATTTCAGGAAAAGCTGTGTAGTGTTAGGAGTTGAAAAGAGAATCTAAACATTTACATAGAGGCTTTTCAAGTTTATTATTATTAAAGAAGTTTTAAGTGGCTCAATTTTCAATTATTCAATATGAAAAATCTTTCACTCATAACAATTTCACTTTGGAAACAGTGCAGGAAATGCTAAAGAAAAAATGGATGGAATGAAAAGTTGGCTGGTACAGGAAAGGGTTTTGATTTTTTTTTTTTTTGAGGAGGCGGCTGTTAGTTGTGGGTAAAGAGCAGCCTGCTTCACTTTACAACCAGAATAACTGTGTTTCACCTGACAAACTGGGTCCCCAAATTCTTCTTTTATTTTGAATAGGCAATTACACTCCATATTAGACAAGTGTTGTTTTGTGGAAATATATTAAAGGCTTTTTTTGCACATTACTTTGTAAAATCCTTACACACCACCTTAATATAGATTCCTAAAGGCAGGGCAGAATGAAAGTCATATGAGTTGTAATAGTTAATGAAGCTCAATATTAAAAATTCCCAAGCTCAATACATGTGGCCAATATATTTTAATCTCTAAGTATGCTCTGGATGTGACAGATACTCTGAGAAAACACATTGAAATTTGAAATAACTGGATGGATTAAGTGAAAGGGAGGATGGAGTATCTATCTCAGGTGAAATTTTAGCTCACCACATGATTTCCTGTATCTGGAGACTCTATAGTCCAAGTCTTTGAGTCATTTGAATGCTTTAGAGAGATTTGTTTGGTTCCTCAGTAGTTTAATCCCTACCTAAGAGAAGCAAGCCTGTTGAGAAAACCAGTATATCTGGTTGTTGCTGTGCTTGAAATATATACATGTATGTTATAGCAATCTGACAATCACAGTTATAATTATCTGTGTGGCTTTATCCATGCCAGAATAAAGAGAAAAGCTTGCCTTATTTTCTGTCTGGAAATGAATGGAAATTGAGGAGAAAATATAAGCAAAATTATTTCATAACATTAGAGTTAGAAAAGTTATACTTGTTAATATTTTTTGGGGGTGATATAGAAAGTTTAACATGTATGCACGCGCGTGCACACACACACACACACACACACACACACACACATGCAACGACATAAAATATTCCTGCTACCTAACTTAAATAGTTGTGAGTTCACTTTCAGTAAATTATAATCACTTGGGAAAAGGGGTTATTTTCTAATTTTGTAGAAATTTAATTCAAGGATAACAACAAAGCATTTTAGAGCAACATGTCTTTTCAATATTTTATGTGCTTCTGAAAATCTTTCTCTCTGACACCCATTTTCTTATAATGTACATGTGTATGCTCCCTGGTGCATGTATATGTCTGTGCATGTGCACACCATGACCATCTACCAACCTAAAACACAAAGCTATCGGAGAGTTGTAACTGAACCTCAGGAACTAGAAGCTGTCGTTAGAGGTTTAGGCCTTTATTTTTATATCTATGAAATGGTTCTAGAATAATTTTGTTTTTAGGCAAAGCTCCTTCCACTCATTTCCATCTAGCATAGGGATGTATTTTGTCATGCGGTTATGGACATAAGGATATGCATGCTTGGTTTTTAGTTGCATTTCTTTGTTGATAGTTAACTAACATATTGGAAGTTATCATATTTATTTTCAAAGTATCAAGATAGTGAATCTTGTGAATATTTTTCATTAACATATATGTTATGATGAAACTCTTAAATTTAGAACTCAATTATCAGAGCTTTCTCAATGTAATTTTTGTATATATATGTATTTGACTATTTTACTAGAATTATTATGTATAATATAATAATTCTATATGTATGTTATAAACTAATCAAAATAACTATATCTTTTTGTTTAAATCACTACTATCTCCCAAATATATGGTTTATATGGATACAATCCTATGCTTATGGATAATATGTAGGTCAATGAGTTAAATATGTTAAATAGTATACTTTTAAAATAAAAAACCAATCTTATAACACATAATTTATATTTGTAATTTTTATACAAAATGATGTGCAGATATATGTATTTTTAATAATAAAACAACTATACCCAATAGATTGGAAGTTTCTATTTTCTAAGTAGTTCTATATTAATGATTCTTCCATTTTGTAATAATGCTTACGAAAATGACCATGTTTACAATAATAATTAGCTAGATAATTTTCTGTTGTGATTATGTACATTTTTATTTATTGAGTGAAAAAACATTAAGCAAATAAACATTAACAAGTATATGCATTTGTTAATCCTCACCTGAGGATATTTTTCCATTAATTTTTAGAGAGAGTGGAAGGGAAGGGGAGAGACTAAGAGAGAGAGACACATTGATTGGTTGCCTCCTGCATGACTAGGGCAAGGGATAGAGCCTGCAACCAAGGTATGTGCCCTTGACAATACTCAAACTTGGTATATTTCAGTTCGCGGGCTGATGCTCTATCCACTGAGTAAAACCGGCTAGGGCAAAATATGTGTATATATTTTAATTTGTCAAATCACATAGTAAATTTTTATTCTATTTCTAGGTAGACCCTGGATTTAATAGTAGATAATTTTAGATCAAGGTATACACTCAACTGAACCTGAAAAATTAAAATAAATCACTTATAATTGAAGGTTAGAGTGCGACCTGCTCTTGCTCAAATTTAAATTGTTTTCCCCTTTGCGCAGACACTGTGATGCCAACTATGTAAAAGGTTATACATTCTCCAATTGACTTAAATCCTTCAACATTCTAAAGGCACGAGAGAGTTCAATCAGAAAAGCACTGCCATTTTCCTAAAGATTACAGAGAGATTTGCTGTAAAGGAAAGTGTACAAATTTGACTTGTTAGAATTTAAATTTATTTATTTTTCTTATATGGTAGAATTGCCTGAAGAATTTATTTGGACCAGATTATGGAGGGCTTCGTATACCAAACTGAACAGTTCAGATTATAACCCTTTTCAGCAATGGCAAAGGAAATTGTTAAGCAGCTACTCAAAAATAAGTTTGGCAGCACAAAGCATCACTTCTTTCTGAGACTGAGCATGCAAGTTTTTAAATGGAAGTACTCAACTATACCATGCCAGAGTTTAAAAAGGCTGTCTCAATGAATTCTCCCTCGGATGTCAATATGAATTTCCTCCAGATTAGATTTAGATTATAAGTGCGAAAATAAAATTAGTTCTCCTATGCTTATATTCCCCCCCTGTTATTATTACTCATGAGCAATACATTTCACTTTTATTTTCACTTTCACTTTTATTGTCTGCTCATTTTCTGGGAGTGGTTGGTGATCAATTCAGTCAGGAAAGTACACTCTAAAGTTAGAAAGTATTCAAAGCGCCACTGTAGACACCCTTTGATCTTCATGCTGCATTATGTATGGGTGGGCTTTCATATCTTTTAAAAACACATTTTTATATTTGCTCTGCTTTAAGGATGGCCTTGTCCAATTGCTTTGCAACCCTTGGTTTGATTACAGACCAGGGTGATCCAGAGGGCCAATCTCCTATTTTTCTATATGTGTTTCCTGACCTCTTTTCCCCATTTCTTCATTGCTTCTGTGTGTTTTAATGATTACAAATTATTAAAGCTGTTACTCGAAAAACGGTTTGCCATTGCCAGTAAAACCCATTACAAGAAACACTTCTGTGTATTTACTCTAGAACATGGATATTGAGTGTATTGATTTTGCTCAAATTTTCATTATTGGGATGACCCAATCATACAGGATAAAAAACAGCTTTCAATAAACTTACAGCACACTAAAGGTAATGGCATAATGGTTTTAGAGAAGTAATTTCCAGAACAGGCTTATTTAAAATGTCAGTTATCTTTCCTACTCTTTATATATTTTAAAACTATCTATAATAATAATAATAATAATAATAATAATAAATAGCAATAATTGTGGCAGTATTAGCAGCTTAGTGGTAGGAGTTGTTTTAGTAAAATCAGGGCCAAATTGCCTGTATTTTATTCTAAAGTTATTTTTGGGACACTATCAATTTTAATAGTTCTATAGGCAAAAACTTCATTTCACAAGAGGCATTTTTTGGTGAAAATACATATTGCCCATCAGTGTGTGTGTGTGCATACACATTGAGGACATTTAACTTCAGTTTATTTTTAATTGTAATATAAGTAATTTTTGTAGGAATCATTTATGGAGAGGCATAGTTTCATATATGTTTCCCACTTCTTTAACTCTTAAAATAAAATGTATTCTGTATTATTTCTCTCTTTAAATATGTTATACATGTGTATATAATTGATCTGAAAAAACACACCCATCTGTTAATTTGGAACCATGTCCATAGGATAACTTCATTGAAACTTTAGGTCTGTTTCTAGAGTGGAGTTCTATAAATTTAATGAATAACTTTTGGAGATTAGAATGTCATTAAACTATAAAAATGTTAGAATCTTTTAAAAAAATCTATCTTCTGGGATTCCCAAATCCTATTGGTTACTAAATAACAAGCAGGGAAGGATTAGTTGCATCTGAATGAACTTTTCTCTGAGAATACCAAAAATGATACCTGATTCTGTTTACTTGTCTCTAGCAATTGAAAACAAACAAGTGCAAGAAACAAGATGAATGAGGGGATTTAACCTGGTAAATAGATGTACATTCTAGTAGAAATCAGATAGCAGGTTTGAGAGAAAATCACTAAGACTACCTTCCTTGCTTCTTACACAGACTTTGGCTTAATAGGCATGTTTTCATTGACCTTCCTTACAGGATTACCACTTTGCTAGGACGATAACTTGAATTTTAGATATATTCATTCATGTCATCAAAAATGGTG